AAATGTTCAGCTTGGGAGCTGCTTTTACTTTACTTCTCATATGTAAGACCACCTGGGCTTAAGTTAGACTACAACCAAAAGCTTCAAATAAGGGTTGAAAGATCTGAAGAATATTTCTATTTCATCCATACTGTCATCCGGGATTCATAGAGCTGTAGTTACAGCAGTAACTTTCGTTTTCCCATGGTTTTAGAAGATCCCCTCCCACTCAAACATGACAATGAGGCAAGCTGCCCTAAATAATCAAATCAGGACATAAGTGAACATCATCCAATGAATCTCAATTTTCTACAACCAGTGAGAAATTTTCATTTCAGAAATACACGACAAAAGAAAAGTCAACGTTACTGCTTCTTCTAGCCTGATTGAGGTGGAATTCAGCTCTCTAAGAGCAGAACACTTAAAACACAAGCCTATAAAAACATAAAGTTCATGAAAACTGCATGCAAGTTTAGCTGAAAAGATGCAGAATAAAGGAAGCAGGAGAGCAGTAGCCTTCCACTTTAGCACGCCATTTGATGTTTCTACAGATCTATACACCAACAGGTAACAGATATGTTTAGGTTAACATCATAAATTAATTAATATTTAGCTTTATTCACCAAGTTAAATACCAGAAATAACCATAAAAAAATAGAGAAAAAGAATATGTTTGCACCGTCTGATATCTGCTGGGCCACCCTTCAAACATGATCTCTATAGTTCTGCTGCTATAGGCTTAGACTGCTGGAGGACATAGGGACCCCTTTTTCATCATTCTGCTTCATTCTATCTCTATTCTCCCACTCTGCAGAATCTGTTAGTTCAATCTCTAACGTTCTGCTCTCTCTGCTTTTTCTCATAGTAGCTTCATCTGGTCTGTTCCTGTTTGGCTGTGACTCCATCCTGGAGAGAAATATCAGCTGTGCTGCTGCCATCAACACCTTTGTTTCTAGATGTTGGAGCTTGGCCTGTTTTCCAGTGTAGTCCTGTTTCTCTGACTGTGACTAACTGGATGTGCTCTCTTCATCCTCTGACATGGGAGCTGGCTTGGAGCTCGTCTGCCTGGCTGACACTGAGCCTGGTTCTGTTGGAGGTTTCTTCCTGTTCAAAGGGAGTTTTCCTCTCCACTGTTGCTACAAGCATGCTTACTGTGAGGGATTGCTGAAGAGTCAATGAGTCGATGCAATCAGCTGGTTTTCCTTAGATAGAAAACTTTGAATCAATCTGACTAGATGATCTGGTGAACTGGAAAATGACCTGAGATGACATGATGTGAATTGGAGCTATAGAAATAAACTGAATAGATCTATGTGTGATGCTCATTTTGGGTCCGTAAATGTTGGATCCTGGGGACCAGAGCTCAATACTTCTTCATAAATGGATCTATGATGTCACTGTAAGACGAGGACGTTTCCAACAGATTGTAATGTTTGCAGCGGAGCTGGAACCTCAGCTTTAAATCCGTCTAATGAGCCAAACCAGAAGATTAGAGGTTTGACATTTTCACCTGGATAGAATGGAAACCCTGACTGTTCAGAATATCCTCAGTCCACAGAACTACACCAACCTATTTAAAGCCCATGGGGTGTTAAGCCCGGCTGCTGCAGGGTGTTAAAAGCAGTTCTTATTTTAAGCTGAAAGGGAATCCTGCAAACAAGGCAAGGTGGTAAAACTTAAGAGTTCTAAATAGGATTTAAAACCAGAGTTCAAATGTTCTCAACATTGAAAATTTTCTGTTTTCTCAGCAGGTCGAGACGCCGCGCAGCGTGAGTCACCTTTAGTTCACAGGGACTGAACGACTCCACCTGCATGGCAGAGACGGAGCTGGAATTGATGTAAGTGGGTGGGCGGGGGGGGTTACACCAAGGAAATCCTAATGAACAAAATGAGTCTGGCTGTTCTTTCTCTGCAAGAAGTTTTATAGCTTTAGATGTGCAGGCATGTAGTGGGATCTAAGCACCTGCAAGGAAAAGAAACAAAGAAACCCCTTTAGGGAGTAAAACACCTCCCAGTAAAACAAAAGCCACTCCAGCTGCTGACTACAAGTCTGAGTTAACACTGTGACATCAGCACTCAAACCATCGGTTCACTTACCCCCACTGCCGTCTGGGACGTGTTCAGTGAGTCAGGTTTCAGTGAAACGGAGCAGCAGACCCAGGAAATTCAGTTTTTAGATCTGAAGCAGCGCCTCTAATCTTGTATTAGTTTGTTATATTAAGGGGAGGAAGAGTCCATTTTACCAACGCTTCATGAAGGCGCTAACACATTAGCCTGGCCGCCGTCTCTGTGCCACCAACGACTTTCTTATGGTGAGGAGTTTCCTCCAGTCAAACCATTATCAGCTAGTAGCAAAAAGCTACACATAGGCTGTGACTGAACAACGCTAAGCCCTACATAGGGCATTTAGTGGTTACTCCATTTTAAATGAGTGTCTGAACGTCTAGTGCAGGAAAAACCAATTAAAAATCATTGAGGTCCGAATAAAGTAAATCCTCAACAGTAAAGGTCTGGAGACATTTTTTATTATAATCTGTTACTTAAAACTGAATTTAACACTAAAATAAAATTAGGTTTTTATGCATCCATGATATACATTGACTTTTTAAATAATAACATACATATATATATATATATTAGTGCTGTCAAAATTATCGCGTCATTATCGCGTTAACGCGAGGCCATTTTAACAGCGATAATTTTTTTAACGT